CACTAGCGCACACACACACATAAGCATAGACACAAACATATACATCTAAACTCACAAAAAACAAAGACACTTATGTATACAGAAATAAAAGAAGGATCGGAAAAATACATTTAGACCTAGATACACACACACGCACACACACACACACACACACACAAACACACACACACTCACATACACACACAAACACACACACACACATACAAACACACAAACCCAAACACACGCACACACACACATACAAACACATACACACACATACACAAACACACACAAACAAACATTAACGAACAAACGAAAAGCCCAAACACTACATCCCCATTCCATTCCCCTTTCATTATGAACCGTCACACTAATAACACACTCGGATTCTCATTTGCATAATCCCAGACGTGACTGAGACGAAATATACCTTTCACTAAATTCTCAGCTGATTGTGTTGAATTTGGTGAGAAATATTTACATATCTTGGGTATCAGCAATTTAAAAGAAAAGAAATATATATTGTTTTAATTGTGCGAGGCCCGACCCCATGAATATTCATATAGACATGGATATTTACAAAAATAATTGCATGTCATATCTGATAGATATACATTTATCTATCTGTCCAGTAGAAATAGCTGTCTAAATTAACTAGATATGCATTTATTTCTGTTTATATGCAAGTCCGTAAGTACGTATCAGTATACTTACACAGGAATGAGAAAAGAAGATAATAACAACAAAATAATAAGCAATAAATGTGTAAATGAAATAATAGAAATAACAGTTAATGCTACAACTAATATTGACAACAACCACATGGATAACAAAAACAGTGATAATTAAATCAGCACTGTCATTGGTGAAATAATGATGATGATAAGTGATAATTAGATATTCCATCAGCAATTAGTTACTCCCATCATCATCGTATATACATTCTCATAAATCTCTCTTCAGAATCATCATCATCATTCAAATTATTACTTTCTATCTTCTTCTTCTCCTTCTCAACTTGCCTCCTCTTCTTTACATTCTCTCGTATTTACATATCCCTAATGATTATTTATTCAGGGGTGGCCATTAGCACCAGTGGCGGGCGGCATTTTCAGACGGGATACGGGCGTGGGCTGTGATGCATCGGAATGGTCTAGGCGGGAGGGAGGGAATAGTAAAATAAATGATAATAAAATTAAATATATTAAAAATAAGTAAATAAATATATAAAAATAATGAGTAAGAGTAAGAGTAAGAGTAAGAGAGAGAGAGAGAGAGAGAGAGAGAGAGAGAGAGAGAGAGAGAGAGAGAGAGAGAGAGAGAGAGAGAGAAAGAGAAAGAGAAAGAGAAAGAGAAGAGAAAGAAGAGAAAAAGAGAAAGAGAAGAAAGAGAGAGAAAGGAGAAATTTTCCTCCGACACGAAATAAAAAAAATCCAATCACCAAGCCAGTACCTAAGCCATAACCAGATTCTAAACACTGCGCCGTACAATTATCCTCAGTGTTTGTGTTATCGAATACCCGCATGTATAATGGTCCCCGACGCAGTTAAATGATCAAAATCTGCATGTTCGTCTTCAGAAACCCGCACAGGAGTACTCTGAACACGTTTTTCCAGTAGCGGTCAAGCCGGCCTGTTCCAGAATAAACCTTTGTGCGTTTCCTCTGCTCGTCACGAACTCGCCTCGTTTGCGTCTGTTTGTTTACGATAAATCTTTTCTCTAGAAATCTCAATGTCATTTGTTTTTTTTTCGGTGTATAAATGGAAGCGGGATATTTGCATAGGGTGGATAATTATAACAGTTTAGGTCATTACAGTTGTGTGTGTTTGTTTTCGCCTTATATGGGCAGATTGCAATTATTTCTCATTCGCTCCTGCAAGTAACGATTAACCATTCACTGTGACAATTATCAAAATCGTATCAAAACGTATTCACAAATATATTCCGACCCTCAATCTCCTTAAATAAATAACCCCAACATCATAAAAAAAAATCCCCATAACTAACAAATCACACACAAAAAAATTCAAAATGAAAAAAATAAAAAAATCTACTCGAATATATGAAAACAAATAAATAAAAGATCAAACCTACTCCAATGTAAAAAACAAAGAAATAAATAAAAGATCAAACCTACTCGAATATATAAAACAAAAAATCAAAGAAATTAATAAATAAAAGAGCAAACCTACTCAAATAAATAAAATGAATAAATAAAACAAAGAAATTAATAAATAAAATATCAAACCTACACGAATAAAAAAAAAAATAAAAATAAAAAAAATAAACAAATAAATAAAATACCAAACCTACACGAATACAGAAAAACAAATAACCGAATAAACAAGACACCAAACCAACTCGAAGATGAAGCTGTCCCCGCGCCCACAGGATGCGACAACAACAACACGAGCCGGAGATAACGAGCGACTCGCATCACAAAAATCAGGTGACTTCGATTCGCCTCAAGACATCGCTTAACGGGTGATTCAGTCCGGATTTATCGGATGCGGGACCTTCAAGCGTGTGATGAGGAGAGTGGGGGGGGGGGGGGGGGGGAGGAGGGGATAAGGTTGAGAAAACTGGGGGGGGGGGGGGATGAAGGTGGGAGGGAGGGAGGGAGGGAGGAGGAGAGGGAGGGAGGGAGGAAGGGAGGGAGGGAGGGGGGGGAGGGGGAGAGGGGAAGGGAAGGAGAAAAGGAAAGAGGATGAGAAGGAAAAGACAGAGAGAGAGAGAAGAGAGAAGAGAGAGAGAGAGGAGAGGAGAGAGAGAGAGAGAGAGAAGAGGAGAGGGGAGAGGAGAGGAGAGAGAGGAGAGAGAGAGAGAGAGAAGAGAGAGAGAGGAGAGAGAGAGAAGAGAAGAGAGAGAGGAGGACAGAGAAAGAGGAGAGAGGAGAAAGGAGACAGAGAGAGAGAGACAGAGAAAGAGAGGAGAGAGAGGGAGAGAGAGAGAGAGAGAGAGAGAAGAGAAGAGAGGAGAGAGAGAGAGAGAGAGAGAGAGAGAGAGAGAGAGAGAGAGAAGATGATGATGATAGTAACAAAAACAATAATCCTCATCATGTCGCTATCTTCATTATCAATTTTACTATTAGCCTCATCATCCTTATTATTACTATTACCGTCATTATTATATTCATTATTTATATCATCCTTATCATTATCATATTATCATTACTATTATTATCATTATTATCATAATGTCATGATTATCATTACCATCTTGACCAGCATCATTAACAATATCAAATAGAAATTACAATACTACATTTTAATCACCGTGGTCTTATCATCAGGGTTACAGTCTTATAACGACAGTGAGAAGATTAAGATTATGGATAAAGACGATGGTTATAATAAATAAATAAATAAATAAATAAATAAATTATATATATATATATATATATATAATATATATATATATATATATATATATATATATATATATGTATATATGTGTATATATAAATATAATATATATATATATATATATATATATATATATATTATATATATATCATAATATTCATATACGACAACCAAATAACAACCAACAAAACAAACACAACGACGAAAGAAAAGATAAAAAAAACCTTAACCAAAACAACTCGGCGATATAACCCCACGAAATAGAGCTTCTCCTTTGTACCTCCCCGCAGTCCTTAACCTTCCTGGAGACGAGAGCGCGAGACAGATGCCGCAGCGTGCCATGGTGGGCGGTGTTCCGTAAATACTCGGGTCGACGATGGGCGTAGCGTGTGCATCAGGGCGTGAAGAGGAATTGTGCAACTTGCGTAGGAGATTGTGGGCTGTCTGTGTGTGTGTGTGTGTGTGTGTGTGTGTGTGTGTGTGTGTGTGTTGTGTGTGTGTGTGTGTGTGTGTGTGTGTGTGTGTGTGTGTGTGTGTGTGTGTGTGTGTGTGTGTGTGTGTGTGTGTGTGTGTTGTAAGTGGTTGTATTTTTTTCTCTTTTTCCTACCTACTCTTTCTATCTTCTCTTCTGTCTTCTTTCTTTTCTCTATCCCCACCTCTCGCTCTCTCTCTCTCTCTGCTCTTCTCCTCTGCTTTCTTTTTATTTTCTTCCTCTCTTTCCGTCAATCCTCTTTCCTCACCTTCTCTTCTGTTTCCCCTTCCATTTCTTCTCTCATCTCTCTTCTCCTCACTCTTTACCTTCTTCCTCACCCCGCTCCCTCTCTTCCTCTCTATCTTTCCTCTCCCTCTCCCTTTCATTTCCTTTCCTCTCTCTCTCACCCTCACATCTCTCTCCCTCCCCTCTCCTCGCCTCACTCTCTCATTCCGCAATAAACGTTAAAAAAACGAGAGAAAACGGGAAGTGAGCCACGCAGAGGTGAAAGAACGTAAAAAACGAGAGAAAACGGGAAATGAGTCATACAAAGGTCGAAAAACGAGAGAAAACGGGAAATGAGTCATGCAGAGGGCGAAAAGAACGTAAAAAAACGGGAAGTGAGTTACGCAGAGGACGAAAAGAACGTAAAAAACGAGAGAAAACGGGAAGTGAGTCACACAGAAGGCGAAAAGAACGTCAAAACGAGAGAAAACGGGAAGTGAGTCACGCAGAGGGCGAAAAGAACAGAAAAAACGAGAGAAAACGGGAAGTGAGTCACACAGAAGGCGAAAAGAACGAAAAACGAGAGAAAACGGAAAGTGAGTCACGCAGAGGGCGAAAGGAACGAAAAAAACGGGAAGTGAGTCACGCAGAGGGCGAAAAGAATGTAAAAAAACGAGAGAAAACGGGAAGTGAGTCACGCAGAGGGCGAAAAGAACGTAAAAAAAACGGGAAGTGAGTCACGCAGAGGACGAAAAGAACCAAAAAACGTGAGAAAACGGAAGTAAGTCACGCAGAGGACGAAAGAAAAAGAAAAAAACGGGAAGTGAGTCACGCAGAGGGCGAAAGCCTCATCGGCCTCCGTCGGGCGAGGCTCTCTAGTGCAATTTGGGCCGCGGCGACGACCTGTGGCTGGCTTAGACATCGCTGTCAGACGACCGCAATATATGACCTCAGATTTATTGCTGGCGGAGTATGATGTTGCTGGCGCGTCTTCCTACGAGCCTATGCTGTTCCTCCATGTTGCTGGCTATGTTGGGGGACCTAGTGGGGGTCGTGTTGTCTATGTTGGGGTATGGGGGTCGTGTTGTCTATGTTGGGGGATCTAGTGGGGGTCGTGTTGTCTATGTTGGGGGATCTAGTGGGTAATCTAGTTCGTGTTGTCTATGTTGGGGATCTAGTGTCGTGTTGTCTATGTTGGGGGATCTAGTGGGGTCGTGTTGTCTATGTTGGGGGATCTAGTGGCGGTCGTGTTGTCTATGTTGGGGGTGCGTGTTGTCTATGTTGGGTGGGGGTCGTGTTGTCTAATGTTGGGGGTGGGGTCGTGTTGTCTATGTTGGGGGATCTAGTGGGGGTCGTGTTGTCTATGTTGGGGATCTAGTGGGGGTCGTGTTGTCTATGTTGGGGATCTAGTCGTAGTCGTCATGTTGGGGGATCTAGTGTCGTGTTGTCTATGTTGGGGGATCTAGTTCTTGGTCGGTTTGGTTGAAGAAGTCTGGTTGGGTATCGGGTTGGCTGGACTTGGGGGGGGGGGGGGTAGGCTTCAGTGTTCGAGTGCATAGTCATAAAAAATAAAATGTAAAAATGGTAACATGTAAGCCCAGACACAGGTGCATTAGTATAAAGAGATAGACAGAAAGATCGATTGGGGAGGGAGGGAGGGAGAGGGAGAGGGAGAGGGAGAGGAGAAGGAGAAGGAGAAGGAGAGGGAGAGGAGAGGGAGAGGAGGAGGAGGAGAGAGAGAGAGAGAGAGAAGAGAGAGAGAGAGAGAGAGAGAGAGAGAGAGAGAGAGAGAGAGAGAGAGAGAGAGAGAGAGAGAGAGAAGAGAGAGAGAGAGAGAGAGAGAGAGAGAGAAGACAGAAAAGAGAGAGAAGAGAAGAGAGACAGAAGAGATAGAGAGAGAGAGAGAGAAAAGAGAAACACACACACAGAGAAAAAGAAAGAAACAAAAAGAGAGAGAAGCCTTTTAGCGTAACCTGTTGCACTGCAACGATTCACGAACGGCAAGCTGTTAGTGAGGCTTGCATACCTGAATCCCCATACACTTCCCCCCCCCCTCCCTCCCCCTTCCGCCCTTCCTCCTCGCCCATACAATAGGCCTCCCCCATCCCTCCTCCCCCCTCCCCTAACCTCCCCTAAGCCCTTCCCTCCCCTCTCCTAGCCTCCCCTAAGCCCCTTCCCTCCCTCGCCCATACAAAGCTAAGCAAAATGTGTCTGCATGTACCGCCCACTGTATACCCGCCCCCTGACACGCTGCACATGGCCCTCGCCCGCCCAGACGGGGAGCAAATATATCGCCTCTCTCTACGCCAACGCCCACAAGAAGGGAGACCTTTACACGCCCGCGACCCTATGCAACGCTTTCTTCTTTTAACTTCTCTTTACTCTCTTGTTTTCTCTTTATTTCTTTCTTTTTTTTTCTTTCATTTTCTGTCTATTTCCCCTTCTCCTTTTACTGTTTTATTTTTCTCTCTACTTCCCTTTTCTCCCTTTTCTCTCTATTTCCCTTTTCCTTTTCTCGCTTCTTTACTCTCTATTTCCCTCCTTTTTCTCTCTATTCTCCTTCTCCTTTTACTGTTTTCTTTTTCTCTTTACTTCCCTTTCTCCCTTTTCTCTCTCCTCTTCTCTATATTTCCCTTCTTTTTCTTCCTTCTTTTCTCTCTATTTCCCTCCTCCTTTTTCTCTCTATTTCCCCTTCTCCTTTTACTCACCTCTTTTCTCCTCACCTTCCCCTCTTCTCTCCTCTCCCTTCTTCTTACCCTATCTCACCTTTTCCTTCACCGCTTTCACTTAGCTTGCCTCCCCTTTCCCCTGCCCTCCTACCCTTTTCTCCATAACACTCATCCCATATTTTCTCTCTCTCTCTCTCTCCTCTTCTCTCTTTCCTTCTTTCTCTCTATTTCCCTCGTTCTCTCTCTTTCCCTCTTTCTCTCTATTTCCCTCTTCTCTCTTTTCTCTCCCCCATACCATACAGTGCCATGCAGCTGACCTTCGCTCGCCTCGCTGCCTTAGGGGCCTCCAGTATCAATATTCAGATTTTTTTTTTCGTACGCCCATAATTATTTGATTCTAATCGCATCACTGCCCATACACCATACTTTCGCCATAAAGTACAATCGACCCTCAATTCAGTGCCTCTTTGTCTGACCTTAGCCCCCCCCCTTCCCTTTTCCCTCCATAGCCTCCCTAATCCTTTCCCTCAAATGCCCCTCACCTCTCTCTCCATAGCCCCCGTCCCCCTTTCCCTCCAACCCCTTCTGTTTTCCCTCCAACTACCTTCCCTTTCCCTCCAAAGACCCTCTCCCTCTCTCCTTCCAACCCTCCCTCCCCTTCCCCCCTTACCCTCCAACCCCTTCTGGTTTCCCTCCAACCCCCCTCCCCTTTTCCCTCCAATCCCCATTCTCCTTTCCCTCCAACCCATCCTGTCTTCCCTCCAACCCTCCCTCCCCTTCCCCCCCCCCAATCCCCCTTCTCTTTTCCCTCCAACCCCTCCTATCTTCCCTCCCCTTCCCTTTCAATGCCCCCTTCCCCCTTTCCCTCCAACCCTCCCTCCCTTCCCCCCTCCCTCCCCTCCCTGCCCCATAACTCCCCACCGCGTACCTGGGAGCGGCCTTCGCTTCGCCCCCGCCGCCGCCGCCGCCCGACGCCCGTGCGCGCGAGGAACGAGTTCTGCGCCCACGCCCATCTGGTCCTCCGCCGCCGCCGCCGCCGCAGCCGAGGCACCGCGCCCACCACGCCCCTCGGACCTACCTACCGTGGGCGCGAGGCGATCTTGCCTTCGAGTTCAAGTGGATTTCTCTCCCTTGCAATCACCAAGCCCGACTCTTGCCTTACGAATCATCATTCTATTACATTATCCCATTTTCCTTCTATTTACACTCGATATTGGTCCATTCTCCCTTGTTTTCTTTGCCTCTCCATTCGTCTTACACGCGGTTAAGGCGATGATAAGATGTAGAGATAAGAAACTAGACAGTCACTCACCTTTGTGTAGTGCAATTAAGCCTTTCGTTGAGTCCTGCCGTGGAGCATGCGGCCCAGGATGAATAAAGGCGCAGAACATTGCAATTAACTTAATTTGCATAGTCGCCCCGGGCAAAATTGCAAAGAATCCGAGGGAGAGAGAGAGAGAGAGAGAGAGAGAGAGAGAGAGAGAGAGAGAGAGAGAGAGAGAGAGAGAGAGAGAGAGAGAGAGAGAGAGAGAGAGAGGAGAGAGAGAGAGAGGGAGGAGGGAGGGAGGGAGGGAGGAGAGGGAGGGAGGGAGAGAGAGAGAGAGAGAGAGAGAGAGAGAGAGAGAGAGAGAGAGAGAGAGAGAGAGAGAGAGAGAGAGAGAGAGAGAGAGACAGAGAGAGAGAAAATGTACTCACGTCTGTTGTTGTGCCTGTTGCCGTGTCTCCGCTTCCAGTCGTTCTTCAGGTTCTTCTTGTTGAGTCTTCCGTTGTTGAGTTTCCGAGTCCTGTTGAAAAATCTGTCTTTGGGCTTCCAGTTCCGCCCCCACTTGCCCCTCCCCCCCGCCGCGGCGCCCGGGGCCGACGCCGCCTGCCGCTCCTTCTTCCGCCGCTGCTTGCGGTGCCAGCTGCCGCCCCTCCTGCGGCCGCCGGAGCTCCCCGGCCGGTGCTTGCGGTCGTGCCTGCGACGGGCGCCCGCCCCGGCGGCGGAGGCGGCGGTGGCGTTGCCGCCGCCCGGCTGCTCCGGCCAGCCGCCGCTGCCGAGGTCAGTGAACAGCTTGTAGGGCCCGTAGAGGAGGTCCTTCGTGTTGCTGACGGCGGTGACGTCGGCCTTGGAGCTCCCGTGGGCGTGGATCGGGTCGCCGCTCTGGTTGTCGATGAACCTGATGGGCGCGAAGCCGAGCGCCCCGCCCTCGTCCGCGGCCGCGCCGGCGGAGCAGCAGGTGAGGCTCACGACCAGCAGATACTTGCCCAGCATCGTCGCGAACGTCGGTACGACCCAGCTAGTGATCACGTGAGACGCGGCGCGCTCCTCGCGTGACATCGCATCACTAAGCATCACTTCCAGCCAACAGATTCACACTGAGATTAAAGCGAAGAGTCTTCCTGGGGAGAGCCCGGCATAGCGGCAGCAAAAGGCAACTCGCGCACCTCCACCGGAAACATTTCCCTGGCGCGTCGCTTCACATCGTGTCGTAGATCTTCCACAGCAACATCTTCCAAGAAAGCGATCAGGAGGTCCTCCTCGAAGGGCCCGCGACGCCTTGAGATCTCCGTCGACCTCGATGATTATCTCTTAATGGCCACCACGCGATGCAATCTTGATTCTGTCAGAAAATCCCGTTTGCGCCAAAGATCTTGTTTACTCCGTCCTTTCAACCGCAAAAGACACGCGTCATTCCTGAAAGAGAAAAAGACATCACTGTTACGTGGAACAGCTTAATATTACTTAAAATACACAAACCTTTACCTAACGTAAAAGACCTTATGATAATGCTTCTGTCACGTGACTCATATACACGAGCTGTGATTTAAAAAGAAAACAAAATAATTAAGATAATTAATCAAGTACACAGTAAGTATGAATCATAAACCAATAATGATAACAATAATAACTTTATTATCCTATCTTAGTTGCAGAGGGAAAAGGACTGTAAGTAAAGAAAGATACATTAACTAGCCAATCTGGCAATCATTCAATCATGGCGCATCAGCTGATAAGTTTTGAAAGTGAAACGAATGTGTAAATAGATTAATTTCTTTGATAATTCGTTTCTTATCAGATACATTTGTAATTCACACTTTATAATCAACGGAATGTTTTTCTTTGCCTAAATAGCGTACGATTTTATTTGAAAACTTTTGATGTTTTCATAAAAATGTTCGTATGCATTCGAAAATACGCGAATTGAAATATTTATATTCTAATAACTCATAGATAGGTGCTATGAACGCTGATCAATATGGAGTTACATGTATTAACCTTTACCTTTCAAAAAACTATACATATGAATATGCATAGCGAAGCAGACTCCGTAATAAAAATTAAATGAGAATCTAAAGTTAAAAAACAACAGCAAAAAGCAAAGCATTTCTTAAAATCAAAATAAGAAAACACGGGAGAAAAAGAACACACAGAAGCCAGATATCGTTCCTTAATTATGATTCTGCTGTTCGTGTCCTCATAATATTTCACCGTCTATCAATTTCTGCGCGTGTGTGTGTATGCATGTGCGTATGTATGTGCGGTCCACTCGACATGTTTTGCCAACCGTGTAATAATGACGTTTATGTTATGCTGCTTGTAAATCCTTTAACTTTGTCCATGACTCAACGGTTAAGAGGCCATATACATGCGGTGTTTGACAATTAGGTTTTATACCCCTATGGCAACTCGCGCGAACAAGTCTTATGCTGTAAATATCAATTACATGTGTTGCGATTTATGTGTTGTACGACATCAGCAATGAGGTCATATCCTGACTTTGGTTCCCGTTATAAAAATCATCAATAAACAATGAACGCGAATAATAAGCGATAATAAAAGTAATACGCTATCCTCAGCACTGTGATCAGATGATAGAAAATGAAACTTTATACGAAAGAGAAAAAAACAGTCTTTCTCTTCATCTAGATAAAAACACCCGAGCCGAATAACCTGTGCTTTCTCTTCTCACTCTCCCTTGTGCTTTCACAACCACTCACAAGCTGAGCAGTGAGCAAGCAGGAAATAACAGCTTGTGAGAGAAATAAACACCCAGACGACATAGCGTCAACGAGGTAAGCTTTACACAAACGGTCCCTGTCTTCTCCGTCACTTTGATGAGGGCTATAAACTCTTATTATTTAGGGACCAACTGCGTTATTTCTTCATCGTATCTTTGCGAGAGTGAGGTGAATGCAAATAAAACAGGTGGTGGGATTGGAGGGGGAACAGAGAGAGCGAGAAGGCTAAGATATAAAAATAAAGAATGATCACTGTGAGGAAACACGAGCTGTGGTCAGAAACATCCTTACATCACGCAAACTTGGGAGAGAAAGAAAATAATTTTAAAAAGAAAGGACGCTTTGCTTATAAAAACACAAACCAAGACTGAGAAAATGAGAAATATCCTCTTAGTCCCTCTAAAGAGCCTAGGAGCTCTCCGTGTCCCCTTGTGGATGCACCGTGACAGATTTCCCGCCATTTTGGTCGCCATATTGGGTCTCCCGGTCGTGTGCGATTCGCCCCGCAGGACACCCTCGCCAGTCTGCTTTGGGCCGCGTGTAAACGATGATCTACAGCCCTGACATGCGTCTTCATTTGCGAACAATATAACGCCTCATTCGCCAAGTGGCAGATATATGCAGAGGAGAATAATAAAGACTGAATTAATGGTTGGGTCTTGCAACGCCACGGTGAAGATATATATGTATGCAATATAAAAGGAAATGTTCTTTGATATATAACGTGGAGCGCTGCAGGTGAAGGATTGAGAGGATGGGAAGGGAGAAAGAAAACACTTCCTCCCTTCCATATCTAGTATGGTGGTCTCACAGCATGAACTATTCAAATCTGCTCGCACCGTTTTTTTTTTTTTTTTTTCAACGATATCACACCACACTCTAACTCCAGTAACACTAACGATGTTCATCCTAAATAGCTCTTTACCGCAACACCTTTTTTCCTTTCTTGCTGTCAAGAGAAGTAAAAAAAAAAATTTCATATACGTTCGTTATCTTACATTCTTCTAGATAACCTGATAATTTAGGTGAAATCCTCACACACATACGAACACACACACACACACACACACACACACACACACACACACACACACACACACACACACAAAGAAAAAATAAATAAATAAAAACTCGAAACCCAACCTGAACGAAAGCCATCCCGTCGACTTCTCAGA